ACTACATGATATGAAGATAGTTGGGATTATTTCAGATGTCTATCACCATACAATTCAAGCACGTCGGGATCCGAAATATAAAATTCAATAACAAAACTCCATATTAAAAAAAGTGGATGACCTTCAAAAATTACACATAAAAATTGATTACTTCTAGTTTCCTCAAGATTTCCTCCTTGACGAACTGCATTACAATTCATTCCATACGGGATATTATCACTAGACTGAACACTGTCCTGTTCTGTCGAATTCGCTGATGCTTGTTTTGAGGGTGTCGATTCTTCATCCTCATCGTGATTTGACGAAAGGCTGCTTAAACATGATTCTATAGTATTAACAACAAGTGCCTGAACACGACCATGTGTATCTAAAAATTCTGAAGCGCTTGGCTTAGCAGGCCTTAGATCACATTCAATATTGGTCTGACTGGAAAATGTTATAAAATAACGATATAAACAGTTAATTATTGTCAACAAGATTAATCAATAACAACATAGAACTTCGTATGTACATTCTCAACAAGATCATAAACTAGTATTAGGTAGCTGTTAGTAAAAGAATCCAGGGTGTCATGAAACTTACAGACTAGATAAATCTATATTTCGATGACTATTGGTTACTCTCAGTGTAATTTAATTCGTTGACTAAGTATACACTTATTCATTCAACTTTGTGCCATGTTCTTTTTGAGTAGGACGGTTAGCATTACTAATTCACTGGTCGAACCGGAGTAGGCAGAAAAAAGTTAGAAACTTCGACTTATAGGGTGAAGCCCCGTCGTCTTGATCACTAAGCTACCGCTCTCTTGTTAAGATATGTTAATTAAATATAAAGCACTAAATATGGACAAAATTCAATTACAGTTTAAGGAATTATAATATACTACTTAAAGTACCCTGGTTTTTCATTTTAAATGGTTGATTAGTTCATTGCTTAGAACCCAATGGCAGGTTAACAGTGTTTATGTACTTATTACTTAAAATCTTACCGTAATTTCTAGAGGTTATAACAAAATGAATTTTATTCATTTTGAGAATATATTTTTACTGTCATTGAGCTTATTAAACGAGTCAAATATATCAACGAACGTTAAATTGTAACCAAGTTATACACAAATGGGATATTATTTGTTGTTTTCAGTAGATGTTTGACTTATCTTTCGAAAACCAGCCATCTAAGCGGTGGCATACTAGGATGTTAGTCATTTTGGTATAGGTTTGGGAAAAATCGCCAGTCAAGGATGATGATAAACTTTTCAATGAAGTGATATACACCCAAACTAATCATGGGAGAAAGGAGTTTGAAAACAGCTTACCTTGAATTAAAATTGAGTACTTTATTTGCAGCAGATACCAAACAGTTTTCAATATTTCGTAAGTCCACGTCTTCAACATACTTTGTTCGAAAAAGACGTTTGTGTCGAGAGTTTGTAGGTAGAGCAGCGTTCAGTAAACGAAATGTGGTTGAACCCAATTCACGTCTAACAGATTCAATAGCATGCATTACAGCCTGATCAAAAACAAACATCACCATATAAATAAAATACCAATATATGTTTTATGTTTGATACTTGGTCTTAGCAACCCAGAATCACCGAAATTACATCACAATAAAAGACTTGGTATGTCTAATATAAGACTTGAACAATCTTACAGACACACTGACCAACTTTTAACCCTAACCTAAAAGGTTAACTTCGCCTGTAGACGCCTCGGGCTACTGCCGGTCCCAAGCCCGGGTAAAGGAGGAGGGTTGGGATCGGGGTTGGCGACTACATTTTGAAAAAAACTAACTTGTCAAAAAACGCTGACAAGAAAAATAATCCAAACCATATAAACTCTGCTCTGGCAGTTAGGTATTCATTTAGAAGAGTTATGACGTCTCATGATGAAAGCCCAGTTCCTTCGGAAGTCATCAGGTCGATGCCCCCTCTGACAATCAGAAACCTTCCACGGTGTGGGCATCCGGGAAGTTACAACCACCCTCGTACCCATAAAAGCACACGAGACCGAATCGGTCACAATCAAATACTTTCTAAACCTCTTAATAACTCTCTTATCTCCTCGAACAACCCTTCTTTCGATCGTTTATCACCTCACGCCACTGAAGCAAACGGTATGAGCTCACGAAACATTATTCCTGGTCTCTTTAAACCCCGTACTAAATTACATATTGGACATTTTAATGTTCGGACCCTATGCCAAATAGGGCAACAGGCTTCATTAGCTAGAACTCTGGAATCCCGGGCGATCGATGTATGTTGCGTCTCCGAAACGCGCATACAAGATCCGAGTAAAATCATCAATTTGATTTCACCTAGTGCAGATAGGGACGCAACAAGGTTAACGCTTCATGTTTCTGGAAGCCCTGATGGCGCTTCTCGTGGCCTCGCCGGCATAGGTATAGTATTAAGTCCTAGGGCAGAACTAGCTCCCTGAGACTGGATCCTGATAGACAGTCGCTTATGCGCTGTCCGACTAAATGGGACGGTACGTACTCGGAAGGATAGGGACACTCGTCGTTGCCTCTTCGTCGTATCTGCCTACGCTCTCACCTACTGCAGTTCAGACGACATGAAAGATAAGTTTTATAGAAACCTTTCTAAAATTCTCCAAAATGTTAAGCGCTCTGACATAGTAATAATGGCTGGTGACTTTAACGCTCAAGTAGGGAGACTCAGAGAAAAGGAAAGACACCTGGGTGGAGCTTATGGTGTCGTGGCTAATAGAACAGATAATGGCGACCGTCTGCTGCAAGTATGCTCAGATAACCGAATATTTCCAGCAAACACTAACTTTAGGCATAAGGAAAAACATCTTTTGACCTGGCGACCCCCAAAGACGACCGGACGATGGACCCAACTAGGTCTCATCGATATACGACATCGGTGGAGAGGCTCTATTGAAGACTACCGCTCATTCTGGAGCACTTGTTTAGACTCAGACCATGCTCTAGTGCGAGCGCGTATATGTTTGCGCCTTACTGGATGTAAGAAAAATATCGCAAGGAAACCTCTTAGGGCTATTACTTACTTACTTACGCCTGTTACCCCCAATGGAGCATAGGCCGCCCACCAGTTTCCTCCAACCAACTCTGTCCTGGGCTTCCCTTTCCAGTTCTTTCCAGCTTTTGTCCATTCTTCTCATGTCTTTCTCTATTTCTCGGTGTAATGTGTTCCTTGGACTTCATTTTTTCTTTTAACCTTGAGGGTTTCATGTGAGGGCTTGTATGTTGAGACCTACTGCTGCTACACTGGTTGTCTTCTTTTGCATTTGTTGTTGCGTGTGTGATAGAAGAGCCAAGTCATCTGATAAGTCCAGATCGTCCAGCTGCATCCTAGCTGTCCACTTGATACCGTGATTTCCTCCAGATGTCGACGTCTTCAGAATCCAGTCGATGACCAGAAGAAAGAGAAAGGGTGAGAGTAAACAACCGTGCCTGAAACCGATCTTCACCTCAAACGAGTCTGTCAGCTGACCTCCGTGCAGTTGAATCCATCATAAGAATTCCGGATGATGTTGACTATCTTCTCTGCCAACCTGCGTCACTTATGGCGTAGGCGAGATATCCGTTAGCTGACTAAAGGACGAGTGTACTGCGCAGTAGTTCGCTCCGTCCTACTTTATGAATGTGAAACATGGCCAGTGAGAGTAGAAGATATTCGTAGGTTAATGGTTTTCGATCATAGGTGTCTTCGAAGCATTGCTCGTATATCGTGGGACACCCGAGTGAGCAACGCTGTTATTAGGAATCGGGTGCTAGGTAAGAATGGCAGATCAATAGATGAAGTATTGAAACTTCACCAGTTGAGGTGGTTGGGACATGTGTTGCGTATGCCCAACCACCGGCTGCCTCGTCGAGCCTTGTTTTGTAGTGTAGGAATAGGTTGGAAGAAAGTTAGAGGCGGCCAAACCAAAACATGGCAGAAATCCATGAAGTCATTGACTAGTGGACTGAGCCATGTTGGTAATTGTCGACTACCTGGTTGGGGTCCGCGAGATGATAATAATCGATGGTTAGAGACCTTGAATGACATGGCTCAAAATCGTTCGCAATGGCGCCGGTGCATTTATTCTTTGTGTTCTCTCAAATCCTAATCTTCTGGATTCTTCAACACCTCTAGTTTTGATTTTCTAAACTTTTTTCACTGAATCATTCTTCTTGAATAATATCTTCTAATCCTAACCTCTCCGATTATTTCTAATTTCGCTTACTACCTCTTCTACTATTGGATCTGAATTGACGATTACTTCTCTGTGCTGATGTGGTATGGCAACATGAACTGATGTACTTATGTACAAAGTTCTACTTTGCATCTGACTGACTGACTGACTGACTATCTTCTCAGGCACGCCGTAGTGTTGAAGAAGCCTCCATAGTGTTTTCCTGTCCACGCTATAGAATGTTTTTTCGTAGTCAATGAGGCTGATGTATAGTTGTGAGTTCCATTCAACTGACTGTTCCACAAGGATCCGTAATAAAGTGATTTGGTCAGTACACGATCAATCCTTGCGAAATCCAGCATGTTGGACTCGAAGTTGGGTGTCTACAAAGTCCTTCATTCTGTTTAACAATACCCTGTTGAAGACTTTGCTTGGTGTTGATAGAAGACTGATGCCTCTGTAGTTCTCACACTTGCTGAGATCGCATTTCTTAGTTATTTTGATGAGGTATCCTTCTTTCAAATCTGATGGTACTTGTTCCTCATCCCAAATCTTCTTGAAGAGGATGTGAAATATTTTCGCAGGTGCTTCTACATCTGCTTTCATTGCCTCTACTGGAATGTTGTCTGGTCCTACTGCTTCACCGCTCTTGATTTGTCTGATGGTCATGGTTGACTCTTCAATTGTAGGTGCGTCAACATCGATTGGGAGGTCCGTAGATGCTGCTTCGATGTTGGGGGGTTCAGTGGAGATGGTCGATCCAAGAGTTTTTCAAAGGGCTGTACTCACCTCTTTCGCTGTTCTTCAGGGTTGCTGATTACTTTGCCTTCTTTGCTTTTTACTGGTCGTTCTGATTTAGGATGGTTTCCAGAGAGCTTCTTTGTTGTTTCGTACAATTGTCTCATGTTTCCTTGTCTTGCAGCCTTTTCCGCCGTCGTTGCTAGATCCTCCACATATTTCCGTTTGTCGGCTCTGATGCTTTTCTTGACTTTCCTGTTTGCTTGTATGTATTCAGCTTGTGCCTTAACTTTCTCTGCTCTCGTTCGGCTGACATTGATTGCTGCCCTCTTCAATTTCTTCAAGAGTACCAACGGAGATCCACTCCTTGTAATGGTGTTTCTTGTGACCCAAAACCTCCTGACATGTTGAAGTGATTGCCTCTTTGGTCCCTTTCCAATTGTTCCCCATGGTTGTTTCCTCTCCATTGAGTAGATCCTGCAAGGACTGGAACTTATTGCTGAGGGCTGTCTTGAATTCGTTGAGTTTTACAGTATCCCGAAGAAAGACCGTATTAAACTTGTCTGCCTCGTAATCCAGTGCTCCTTTAGTTTCAGTTTGGCGACCAGAAAGTGGTGATATGAGGCTATGTTAGCTCCTCTCTTGATTCTCACATCCTCCATAGTCCTTCTGAACTTTTTATTGATACATGGTCGATTTGGTTCTGAGTAGCGTGATCAGGTGAAATCCATGTGGCTTTGTGTATGCACTTGTGTGGGAATATTGTGCCACCGATGACCAGTTTGTTGAAGGTGCAAAGGTTTGTAAATCTCTCACCATTTTCGTTCCTTTCTCCTAGTTCATGTCGTCCCATGATGTCTTCATATCCATTGTTGTCCATGCCAACCTTGGCATTCAGGTCTCCTATTAAAATCGTCAAATCCTTTGGTGAGCATCTGTCGACATTGACTGCAGTCTTTCGTAGAATTGATCTTTATCGTCGTCATTGTAGTCGTTGGTAGGTGCATAGCATTGGGTGACGTTCAATTGTAATGTCCTCTTTCTTCGTTTTGAAGGATGCTTTAATGAGCCTGGGTCCATGAGATTCCCATCTTAACAGTACCTTTTGAGCTTGTTTGGACAGCATCAGTGCAACTCCCTGTGTACGAAAAGCATTTTCTCCATGACTAGAGTATAACAGCAGTTACCCTGGAGCTAGTCTCAGTTGTCCCACCTGTGTTCAATGCGTTTCGCTGGTTCCAAGCATCTCCAGGTTGTATCTTTTCATTTCTGCAGCAACTTGGAATAGTCTTCCAGTCAGTCAGTTGCAACGTACATGTACATAAGTTCATGTTACCATACCGCATTAGCACAGAGACGCAAATGTCAAATCAAATCCCATAGTGATAAAGATAGTACAGGTATTAATGGTAATAAAGAAGACTAGGGTTTGAAGATATTATTCAAGCAGTATAATTCAGTGAGATAAGGTTAGAAAGACAAAGGTAGAGGTGCTGACGATTCCAAAAGATTAGGATTTGAGAGTGCTCAACGAATGGATGCACTTGCACTTGTGAGGGACCTTCCAGTCCCTCACAATGTTCGAACGTTCCATGTACCTAAAAGAATGGTTGCTCTGGTTGTCAGGAGAGGCATTGGAATCGTGACTTTCGAGGGAACTCGGTTTCTTTTTCCAGCTCCCAGGGCAGAGTTAAAATGGTTTGATTTATTATTTCTGGTTAGCGATTTTTTGGCAAGTTAGTTTTTTGTTGAGATGCGGTCGCCAACCCCATGCCCAACCCTCCTTTTTTATCCGGGCTTGGGACCGGCTGTAGCCCCGAAGGTTCTACAGGCGGAGTTTTAGGGCTCTATTTAATGATAATGAAGCCAAGAATATATTTCAGGAACAACAAGAAAAACAGTTAGGCAGCCATGAAGTAAGTGATGCCCACCCTGAGGCAGCTTAGAATGATATCAAAAAGGCTGTGGAAACAGCAGTGATATCTGCTTGTAAGGTAAACCATAAGGTTAGGGCGAAGCCATGGATTTCAGTAGCATCTACGGAACTGATGGATGCTCGAAAACTCATCCCTCCTGGCTCTAAGTACGATGAGGAGCGGAGTCAGTTCAGGTGCGGGCTGAGAAAAAACCTTCGCAATAACCGCGAACAGTGGTGGGTAGCGAAAGCAAGAGAGATGGAAAAGCCAACGGCGATAGGCAACAGTAGTCAACTATTCAGAATCATCAAGGATGCCGGTATTAGAAATCCGACTATAAATGAGACAATCTCGGAAAAGGATGGTCTTATTATTCACTCTCAATCCAGGAGATTGGATCGATGGACAGAACATTTTAGGGACCAGTTCAACTGGCCTTCAGACACACTTCCGTTTCCCACAATGTCCAGTCATCCTGAATGTGGAACCGACGTAAGTCCTGTGAATCTTTATGAAGAAAATCACTAATTGACTTTGCCGGTCATAAACTTAAGTAACAGCTTTCGTAATATCCTAGGCGAATGGGCAAGTTTGAGTAGTGCTACCAACATAATATACATATTTGACAATTTTTCGGGGTTAGATATTACCAAAGTTTTTATTCGACAGCGTTTAGTATTATTTGAGTTCCATAAAAACGGCAGTTTTATGATGATTAGTATGTCTGTTTCAAACTTTATGAAAAAGTAAACGTTCTATTAATGCAATTGCGAGCATATTACTATTGCAATGAAAGTTTTATAAGCTGCCTTCTCACGGCCAGGATATCGATTATACAATTGAAAAGACAAATAGAGAATATTCAGTGCTTGAGCCAGGTTAGTGGGTATGGAATATTAACATATAGGGGTTGTAAAAACCTGATTCACAATGAATACCAATGGTGAAAGTGGGCTCGAGAATCCTGAAGGAACAAATGGCATATGAAACTATCTTTGGTCATTGGTTACTACATGACAGCATCTCCTAACGCTGTTACACTACTTTGTGGATTAGACCTTTTAGTCAAAGGCTGAGAGAGTGGCTGTCTAGGATAACTAACTTCTTCGGTTCGGGCATCAGAACAGCATCCCAGTTCACTCTCAAGCTCAAAAGTTTGTGTGGCTGTTGTACTGATGCTTATGCTTAAATAAACCAACCCATATAAAGCTAGAACTTGCATGGTTTTTACAGGTATGTGGTCACCAAGTCTATATAAAGATGACTATTTTATGTTACAGACACTCGGATTCTGGAGCCTTACCTTGGTTCAAGCTTTACATGGACTCTACAAATTCCGTAGGAGTAATTTCTAGATGTTAGTAATTGGATAATATATCATTTAAATGTTGTTCATGAATTTAAATGAACTTGGTGAGAGTTTTGGTGTGGAGGAACTCTACTGTAGATTTAACGTAGCTGTCATCCACCAGTGCAAAAACTTGATAAATTCTGGTTATTTTTCTGGATCATAAGGTAATTTCAATATCTACGATTAATATGTGAGTACTATCACATAAATCCAGGGAAACAATCGTCACCATTTAAAATGTCAGTTCAAGAAACTTTTGGTTGTTTATAAGGTTAACCTACCCCATAATCAGAATCATCTTCTTTAAGTCCTACCAGCAGCAGTTCACAAACTTGTGCTTTAACAGTAACCAAGTAAAAGTCAGTGAAAACATCATTTATCATTTCTAACGTAGCGCACAAGCTTAAAATGAGTAAGCACCCGTTGTACCGAATAACCTTGTGACGAGCATTTATAAACTGACTGACTTTTTGTGCCCCAATATTTTTTTTACGAGATAGTATGAACTAATCGATTTACTTGAGCTCGATTCTTGTTATTTCGGTACCGTTAAGGTAATCTGGTATTATCCAGCAGGTGGTAGTATAGTCTCTCGAATTCCCTATTCTTAGTCACTTCGATAGCTAATTGGGGTAAATATGTCTCAGATATTCAGGGTTTGACACTTATTATGTACATAACATCACTATAATCGAGAATCTTAGACTAGGTTAGATCACTAGTCAGAGTTAAGACAGGTTTAGAACATTTTTGGAAGATAGTGTGTTCCGAAGTGTGTGATTCAAGCTGACTAGTTATTACGAAGGAGTGTGTGGCACGGCATACTCAATTGACCTGGTGTGAATGCTTGACCGATTGTCTTCAGCTTAGATTTGCTTAATAAGGCTGATGTCAGAGCCAATTTCCAGGACTTATGGAACAATTTATTTCAGGGATTTATTTATTTCCAGTGAATTCTCATATCTTGAAACCTGTCTGAGTGCATTTGTATCGTTTAAATCGATTATCAGACAGGATCTTTGTTGTCTTTAATGTGTAAAATAGTGAAGGGAAAATTGTGATGCTAGGAGGTTGTACCGGGAATTAAACAAATAAGCTAACTGATTTGTAGTGCAGATATTCTGGTTCATAAAAAACTTTCTAATGGGATTTGAGAGTAATAATTCAGATGAGAATTAAAGTTGTTAACTTGTAGGGAGTTACAGAAAGAGGAGTGACCGTTCATCAGGTATTGTATTGGCAGCTGATAAATGATTATAAAGAAATTATGTTTAAGAAAGGAGCATCCTAGTATTGAGAAACACAATTTTAGGTTTGATCGATTGACCACTTTGTGCAGCATATTAACTATATCTTTTGAGTAGGAATCGCACATAAATTGTACAACACTGGAAGCTTCTCTCTCTTAAGTCAGTAGAACACATATGGTTCCGAACTCTATGTTCGTTAGCTGACGCATTCATTAAATTTTGGGAATTACATTCGTGATGCTACGCACATATCTTCGAATATCAGTCCAGTGACTTTCAATGAATTTACAATGGGTGACGGTTGAGCAGCACGTATTTATCGTAGCTCTTCAGAAATGATAACACTAATCAGTTTGCATCCGTTGAATGGTTTGTGCAGATCTGTGTGCTCTTTTAGGGTCATTTCTTTAAAAGTTAAATTTTACAAAAGGCTCCTTATTCTTCGGAAAGTATGAATCAAGTAGGCAGTATGTTGCCTTTTCATTGTCTTTAATTACTATCATTCAAGCTTCTAGCGAGTGAGATGTCGAAGGTATCACACAGTCAAGAACACGTTTTTGGTATCCGTGACTACCTTTGAAACGATAGCGCTATAGCTTTGTAAGTTATTAACGTTTATATTGTGGTGGAAATTCGACGACTGAAGTAATATTGACCGTTTATATCACTGAACAAAATAACCAATAGCTATATTTTAAAGCTGCTTATGATAAGATAAGATGATAAAGTTTAAGATAGTGTTGTCCCTATTCATTCCTTTGGTAGCTCCTTTTACTGTTGATAGTTTTAGAACAGGTAGCTAATTAGTAAACTGATGGCTTTTTCTCACCGTTTCAAGACCATAAGGCTGATGTTGTTACATCTTAGTAACTTTCGCGGGTTTTTATATTTCAGGTATTTCAGAGCTAAATTGGGAGTTGGTCGGATGTCGCGCAGACTGTCAGCTGTCACTAGAGTTGATGAGGGTGTAGCGAGCGAGTCAGATACCAGATTGACTACGCTAACGACTAAATATTCCATATGGTCGCGTCAAAAATATAAAAACAAATCCATGATCCAAGGTTTTATTTAAGGGAGACAGTAGGCATTACCCCTGGAACAGCAAATAGAGAAAGATGGCAGCAACGCGAAGAGAACGTTGCGCGCAAGAAGTAGAAAAAGTGTTTTTGGTACAGTTAAACAAAACGAGTACAATAGTGTTTGTTTTTCATAAATCGTATTTTCTTCGTAGAAGCGTTCCACTACAGTAACATCTTATTCTTTCACCGTGCATACAAAAGAATCAGGACACTAGTTTAGTTTGGGTCAAATTATGGTCTAATTGATTTTTGTAGCTTGTCGTAGACTCACAAGCAGAATGATCACCTTCTAACTCCACCTGAATAAGAGTATCTTTCTCAAGTAATTTCCTGCAAAAATTTCTATAAGGAAAAAGTAATCTCAATACCAAAGAAAACATCTAGTAATTGGAATGCAAAACGTCGACTCATGTCAATAAGAACGGCTTTTTAAAGACAATGAAAATATTATTGCTACTTCCATTTTAATTTGTATTCAAAAAGAACATAGATCCATTTCAGTTTGTCTACAAATTCAAAAGAAGTACCCTAAATGGTGCTGTTGTTCTGTATCAAAATATGATATTCAGCTGAGACAAGAGTGAAAAGGATGTTCGATGCACATTATAAAACCTTAGTTCTGTTTTTGATTCTATGCAAAGATCACTATTACGAAAAAAGTTTCCTAGCATCAGCTCTGGCATTTTGGTAACCAAGTATCCATGTTCCTAGCTCTATGGGAGGAAACAGTATCCTGCTCTTGAAGTAAAGTGTTCAACGTCTTTACCAACTGAAAAAGGTGTGGGGAAAGTAACTATCTGTTTCATTTTTTTCCACAGTTTTTCCGCCTGATCTACCAGCTTTTACAGAAAACAGTTTTATCAACTATTTTATTGATCTCACTGTATTTACACCGATTTCTGCGGTTTTAAATCTTATGTTATTTGAATGAGTTACTGTCGCTTGTTGGACAACGGTATTTCGGTAGTGGCATCTAATTTAATCCTTTTAAATATCGAATTGTTAATTTCAACCTGAGACGTGAACAGAACTTAAGCACCCTGTTGGAATCCTATAAAGTTTGCATCACTGGAGATTCAGCACTTGAAAGCTGTGTCAAAGATCGTTTGTCTTAAGGGTGAGTTTTACTTCTAATCTTTCGCGATTTTCTTATGTTTTATTCATATGGAAGGACGTTTTCCGTTTGACCTGCATTCGGTAATATTCGACATTTATTATTACGATTTGTCAATTATTGTATAGTAATACCTTATATTTTTCACTGTTACCTACTATTTTTTCTTCGGTTTTTAAAAAATGATTTCATTGTGTTGTGATGAATTTTGAAGGCAGTTTCGCAATGTTTATGCTGAATATGGTTTTGCGTATTGGACATTTAAAATCGTTTAAACTTCAGGCAAGTGTTATCTTTTCAGATATTAACGATCTATTGAATTGATATCATTCTGTTTGTATAACTTCTGGTATAACATAACACTGGTACATTAAAATTCATGTACTTAAGTTAAAGTATAAAAAGTCTACCATATCTTATCTAGTAAATATACCCTATGCGATTGAACAGGTGGTAAGAGGTGACCTAGTCAAAAATATTGTATTTTTGTTATTTGTATTGAAAGTGGCATAGAATATAATCTTTTCTAAAAAACATAACAATTTCATTTAATTCCAGATATTTTGTCTACTTATCTCATGTAAATATGTATGCAATTATTGAGTTGTTTCGTGAAAGAAACTTGGTTTAATCAATCAAGTTAGGCATTAACACCGTCGAATACCGGCTTAGTGGTCCGATGGTTAGGCGTTCGCTTACAATACCGAAGGTCCTGGGTTCGAATCCTGCAGGGTGCAGGAGTCGTGGATGCACACTGCTGAGGAGTCCCACACCAGGACGAAACGGCCGTCCATTGCTTCCAGGTTTCTAATGGTGGTCTAACATTGGTCAATTCATGGCTTCAAATTGTGTAAATTAACAATCTTCACAACCCCGTAATACTAATCAATTGTCTTAAGAATTCCATATTGTATCAAACATATAATATTCCATAAATTCGTTAAAAATAATAATCAGTCAGTCAGTTGCAACGTAGAACTTCGTACGTATGTACATAAGTTCAGGTTGCCATACCACATTAGCAAAAAGACGCAAATGTCAAATCAAATCCCATAGTGATAAAGATAGTAGAGGTATTAATGGTAATGAAGAAGACTAGGGTTTGAAGATATTATTCAAGAAGTATAATTCAGTGAGATAAGGTTACAAAGACAAAGGTAGAGGTGCTGACGATTCCAGAAGATTAGCATTTGAGAGAGCACACAGAAAGGATGCACTTGCGCTATTGCAAACGACTCTGAGCCATGTCATTCAAGATCTCTAACCATTGGTGACTTTCGTCTCGCGGACCCCAACCAGGTAGTCGACAGTTACCAACATGACTCAGTCCACTTGTCAATGAATTCATGGATTTCTGCCATGTTTTGGTTTGGCCGCCCCTAACTTTCTTCCAACCTACTCCTACACCACAAAACATAGCTCGTCGAGGCAGTCGGTGGTTTGGCATTCATAACACATGTCCTAACCACCTCAACTGATGAAGCTTCACTACTTCATCTATTGATCTGCCATCCTTACCTAGAACTCGTTTCCTAACGACAGCATTGCTTACTCGGTTGTCCCAGAGTATACGAGCAATGATTCTTATACATCTACGATCGAATACTAGTAACCTACGAACATCTTCTACTCTTAACGGCCATGTTTCACAGACATAAAGTAGGACGGAGCGAACTGCTGCGCAGTACACTCGTCCTTTAGTCAGCAAACGGATATCTCGCCTACGCCATAAGTGACGCAGGTTGGCAAAAGCCAATCAGGCCTTCTGTTTTCGAGATGAGATTTCGTCAGTCACCAGGTTATCATCGCTGATGAGACTCCCCAGATAAGTGAAGCGATCAACACGCTCGACTACTTCACTCCCTATCACTAGTTCAGGTGCCGATAATAATGATAATACAAACAGTTATATAGTTCACTGTATTTTTTTTATTAACAAAATTAGAAATTTAAATTTTTTTTTCAAAATATTAATTGTGATGTAAACTATCTACTATTTGAACATAAATTGGCCTACGAAGTTTACTGGAACATTGATTGATTAATTTAATTGTAGTCGATTCATTAGAAAGTTCATGATCTGTTATCGTTAATTTTTTATAATTGTCTACAATATTCTCTTTTTCAATCATATTTTTATCATCAATATATTCTTCTTCATTTAACATTTCAAATGCATTAGGGTCTTGAAGTAAATTTTGTTCCCTTAAGCATAATTCGTGTGTTGTCATAAATTGTTGTTTTATAGTTTGAAGAGATTGATTTATATCAAGTTTGGTGTTAATTGTAGGAATGTCAGATTTTTCATTGACAATCGGTGTACACATATATGCTTCTTTATTCATAT